CCCCTCTCCCCCTCCCCTCCCTGAACCCCTCCCCTCCCTGCACTCCTTCTGCCCTCTCCACACCCACACCGGCCTCCAGGACATGCCAGACATTCCTCTGCCTCAGGGGTCTTTGCACCTGCTGTTCCTTTTAGAAAACTTTTCTCCCCTCATCTCCTTTCAGGTCATGTGAACGTCTCTGTGAAGATGCCCCGAACTCCTCTAAAGGGACTGGGAGCTCTGTCCTTGTACCCCGGGAAGGACTGACCCAGATAAGGGAGGTGGGACTGGGGCCGGGTGAGGAGAAACTTCCAGGTGCCTCTGGGCAAGGGTCAGGCTGCTCTCGGAGGCCAGTGGGGGCCAGGAGGCTGGCTGGCTGGCTCTCAGCACTCCAGGACACATGCGGGTGGGCAGTGGTTCTAGTTGCTCTCTGCCCTGTTTTCCAGTCCATTGTGGTTGACTGGTCAGTGGATACCAAAGAGTCATAGCCTTGACACGGGAGGTGATGTGGGGAAGGAAGCAGACAGGCCTGTCCTTCGCTAGAGGACCAGGAAGGCTGTCCACCCCCTGCAGATGGGAAACCCTGCTGACCTTCACTGTGAAGCTGGTGGAGCCCAGGTTCCTCCCAGGGCCACTGCAGACGTTTACCCCACGTGTGCACCTGTGCTCTCACCCAGGACACCAACGGCCCGTGAGAAGGGCAGCCCTGTCCCCACAGGAGGAAGCCCAGGCGTGTCTGTGACCTCAGCGTCACCCCATGCTCACTGCTGCTCTGGGCCTGGACTTGGGCTCCTAGAACAGACAGGGAGGTCAGCACACAGCCCATCACAGACACAGACCCACAGGGTGCTCAACTCAGACGGAACCTGGAATTCTCAAATCCCACCCTGAACAGACGCATTCCCACCACACCTCAGGGGCCTGCTTCTCCACACCCCTCAACTTCTCTTCACTCCCAAAGAAATTCTTTGGTAGAAAACGCAGGTGCTGTTAGAGCCACAGGTCAGAATTTATTTCCTACCACCTCCTGGAGAGCATCTTCAAGGAGAGCGTTCTGCTCAACATCATTTACGCTTAAAAACAGAAAAGTATGGCAACTTCCCCAGTGGTCCAGTGGTTAAGACTCTGCGCTTCCACTGGAGGGGGTGTGGGTTTGATCCCTGGTTGGGGAACTAAGATCCCGCGTGCCACATGATGGAAAGACAGAAAAGTATGACTTGGTAAGGCACCAGGTAACCTGCCTCAGGGCCTTTGCACCTGCTGTTCCTTTTAGAAAACTGGGGAGAAGACCTGCCCTCCTCTGGGCTTGTGTAAGAGCTGGATGGTTTCTCGTAAGTGTGTCAAGCACAGAGATCAACATTACAAAAGGTTCATTTCTACACACATGGTGAAAAGAGATGACAGTTGTAGAGGACCCCGTATTGTTAAATTATGACTGGCCTACACCGCAGGACTTATGCTAGGGTATTTCCCAAAGCACAACTCTGATAAAACGTCCTCCTCGATACCAAGCTGTAAGTTTAACAACGTCTGAGCTTTGAAGTGAATCAAATTTATATTTAACTCGAGCACATACTTTTAAAAACTTTTCCACCCAAATCTTTATTTTCCCCAAGAAGTAAAAATGGAGGAAAACCTCGAGTACAATTGTGCATTTACTCTTCTATAAATTTGGCAACATATTAAAACCTGTTGCATTTCAGTGTCAACCTTCTGGATTTTTCGCACTAATAGTACAGGCTGCATCAAGCAGGGCTGAAAATGAAACACGAGTAAAGCTCTGGAACTGGACCACAGAGGTGTTCCTCACCAACCGCTGGCCCTAAAGGCAGAGGGTGGCAAAGGTTCCCCCCTCCACCGGGGGACCAAGAAGAGCCCCACATGCTGTCACAGGCATAAAATTTCTTTCAAGTTTTGTGTTCAGTCTTAAAAATTAACTTGCATTTTACTCCACGACATTTGCTTTACTATAAAAATACCGTTTGAAATCACTTGCCAGTCAAATAACCCTTCCTCACCCTCTCCACACCAGGGCAGGCAGAGCCCCGTCTGGGAAGCTCACGGGTAGGTGAGCCAGGCACCAAGCTTCGAACACATTTCATTAGGTCCGTCTGGGGCATTTCCACAAAGGAAGTAATTTTATTCACTCAGGATGTAACTAAACGCTTCAGGAAGCAATGATATCAATTTCAATGTATTGAAAAATAAATAGTAAACAGCATGTTTTTCAGTTTTTAAACAAGAAAATTAGTTAATTTTATTTACTAATAGAAATAAAAGAAGCCTCTAACCTAAAGTATAGCCTGATCATTTACTTTCTGTAAAAAGAAACACGAATTGGATTTTTTTTTTTTTAACATAAAAAGGACAAGGCCCACAGAAAGATAAACTCCTCTACCTGCTGGCGTTACAGAGATTTCCGCAGTTACTGACAGATCTTGGTAGATCTGCAGGCCTGACGTCACAATCTCGCGCATTCAGCTGCTTCTCGGCATCTCAGAAGCAGCCCCATCCCACAGTAAAACTGCTCCCTGGCACTTTTGGCACTTTTCCCCTCCAGAACATGAAGCCCTAAAAACCGCCACCTGGAAGAACACAAACGTGTCACCGATCTGTGGTTTTCTGACTGTTCCACAGTGAGGAGACAGCTGAGCAAGGGTGCTGCGGTCCCTGCCACCACCGATCCCACACGAGGCGCTGTCTCTATCACCAGCTCCCTGAAAGGCATGTGTGGATTTCACTGGCTGTTTTAATAGGTTTCAAGAGACATTCATATTAAAATAGGTTCTAAGAGACGCTCATGTTTTGTTTTAACATGAGCTCCAAAATGTGTGAAGATATTACCTAGAATCACATCTCAAGGCATCATCAAAAAGAGATCTGTTCCAGAAAGTGTTAAAAGAGGAAGCCCGGCTTCCCTCACAGCTGTTTCTGGGGCCACATTTTTTTCCCATTAACTGTTTAAAAGTCTGAATCAGAAGCAAGAATGGCCACGTATATATCCGTGTTTGCGTGCGTACACAAAGAGGTACCTTTACGCTGACTTAAGGAAAATAGGGACATTTTGTGTCCCCCAAACATCTGCCTGCTACAGGCCTTGCAAGAGGGTTCACGCCCCCTGAAGATGGGGCAAGGAAGCCTAGAAGGTTAGAGACAACCCCGACAGGTCTCCTGAGCGCTGTCATCACAGAGGTTCAGGCAGTTGGCTCATGTGTATGACAGCAAATACCATGCTCTGAGCTCAACGTGAATCACTCCCTAAAGAAAACAGAGCTATCACTTGCTACACTCCTCATGGCACTTTGGCTGTCGATACGGTCTCAGGATGAAAAACTCCCATCAACAACTTTTTCTTTTTGGTCTACACAGCACCATAGTTAGTGGCATGTTTTTTTGTTGGTTGCTTTTAAATCTTAAGCAACCAGGTATAAGAATACAACCAAAGTGACTGATTTGAGGTTTTATAGGCAGAGGTCTCTCTCTTTTTTTTCTCAGATTTTTGCTCCTTAAAAAAAGGGGGAAAAAGTATGAGGTTTCAAAGCTAAGAGTTACTCTGACCGTAGCTGGCCCTCAATCAAGGGTCGGCTAACCATGCCATTTCCTCTTTGTTCTTCTGTGCATTATCTCGTGGCAAAATTCCACTCTGGACGCCCAGATCTGAGGTGCCTTTTCATATTAGATATAAATTAATCCAAAGGTCTAGAGCTCTAAATTCCCAGAGTCATGACAAACGCTTAACTTACTTCAAAAATCTCTTGCATAAGTATCTCATCCCTCAGCTCAAACAAACGAGAAGGTCAAAGGCAAGGAAGGATACATACATTGGAGCATCTCCTATAATCCACATCCACGCGCATTCTCTACACAGGTTCTACACGGTCAAAGGAGTCGTTTCAGCTGGTGTAGCCTCTCGTGCGGAGTCCGTCGGGGCGCAGCCCGTCGGGGCCCCACCAGCATCATACAAAGCAGCAATACTTCTTCCACCAGGACTTGGACAGGGTCTTCATCTTGTCCGGAGTCCTGCTCTTGGACTTCTTGGGCTGCTGCTGAGAGTCCGAGTACTGGATTCCGGCGACGATGGCTGCATCAAAGACCTCTTTGAGGTTCTTCTGAGTCAAGGCCGAGCACTCGATGTAGGAGGCGGCTTTGATCTCCTCAGCGCACAACCTGGCCGCCTCCTCGGGCACGGGTTTCTCTTTGCATTTGTCCAGCTCGATGAGGACTTTGACGTCTTCTCTGAGATCCGACTGCGTCCCCACGAGGATGATGGGGGCTTTGGGACAGTGGCAGCGAATCTCCGGCACCCATTTCTCACTGACGTTCTGGAAGGAGGAGGGGCCCACGACACTGAAGCACAGGAGGAAGATGTCGGCGCTCGTGTAGCACAGAGGCCGGAGCTTGTCAAACTCATCCTGCAAGCGAGCCAAGCACCCAAACGTTATCTTTTACATCAGTTCTCAACAGCACAAAGACCGTTTGAACATTTTTCTGGAAAGGGTCTGGCAGGTAACAGAAAGCCCACGAGAGATGGAAGGAAGAGCCAGAGTCCTCGAAAGGCCCCTGCTGCCAAGTGGGGCAATGCTCCCAGCCCCTGGAAACCTGCCCGACGTGCTCAACATTTTCCTTGATGCTCTAGACCTACTTGCAATTTACCATAGAAAAGGTCCTTAAATTAGATGGATTTTCAAAATAAAATTTACTTTCTCTAGGCTTCAGCACAGAGTAACTCAGACCCACTCCTTCAACTCCGGTACTTAGTCAGGCTCTTAAAACGTACACAGTACCCACGCCGATCCTTGGGGCTCCACCCTGACTCCAGGGGACCCCAGTCTGTGAACCCAGCGCCTCTGTAAGGACCCATCCCTGCCCATCCTCACGGCAGCGATGAGCCATGCCTGTTCCATCCCATCTGCGCTGTGCACACCGAGGGCACATTCAGGGCACACGCGGTGCAGAATCATGGGAATCAGACACAGGTCCGGAGTTGAGGACCTGGACTTGGCCACTCTCATTAGGGATCCAGAGAATGTGTGCCTCTCAATGTCACATACAACACTGGTGAATACAGTCTCACACTTGCTGGATATAACACTTTCTTCTCGATTTATCTTTTTCTCCCTCCCTCCTTTTCTCTTACTTTCCCTCCCCTTCTTTTCTCTCCATGAATCCCAGAGGCCTCCACGCATGATGCTTTGGGAGGATAAAGAACCAGAGAAAGGGTGTACCCACCCAACTTCTGAGGGATAGAGAACTGGATGGAACAAGTTAGAGTTGATTATATAAACCAACCACCCACCATGCTGCTGAAGGCCGTGCCGCACTCACTCACTAACAGAGATGCATGTGGGACTCCAGGCACCACGCATCAGACACCAGACTCCAGGGGATTTGGCTGGGGACAGACAGACATGGCCTCAGCCCTTGTAGGGACATCTGTCTCCAAATCAGTGTTTCTTTATATCAAATACCCTAGAGTCCCCTGCAGCACCATATTTAGCTAACTGAAAGCTTTCACTCATCTCTCTTCTAGGAAAATATTTACATCATCTCATTTCTATTTGAAATTTCTATATATGGGTGCCAACCATCCTCCGGCATAAGGTGACAAATAGATTCCCAGCAGCAAGGAAAAGGTAAACGTCACCCAGGTTTCTGCCGCTCAGTTGACACATATGATTATTTACGAACTATTATTTACGTGCATGTTATGCTGCATCTGTGGCCTTTTTCTAGGGATAAGGGAAGCCTGGATCTTTTTATTTGAGTTCACTTTCCTCATCTGAGGCTCCGTATTTCAGTTTGTGGGGCAACAACCAAGTAACAATATTAAAGTCAACCAATATTAAAGTCCTTCCTCAGGAAGGAATACGGCATCTCTCCGTGTCACTGCCACTTCTCCGACTTCTATATGCAAAAGTTAGAAAGAAAGAAAGAAAGAAAGAAGGAAGGAAAAAAGACCTGGATTTCTTAGTGCCAACTTTGTGCTGAAAGAAGAAACACAGAAACCCATCCAGGTGGCCCACGGCCCAGCCACGAGGACCTTTTAATGAAACATTCCCTCTGTTCTCGGAGCCCTGCAAGAAGAAGCACAGGACGGAGGCGTTGCCCGCACTGCTGGCAGTGATTGCACCTGCTGGGCCCTGGATCTGGAGTTGCGTTACCAATAAAAAGAAAGGTGAGCACAGGCCCAGGCCTTGTGACCGGGCTTTAGCAATCTGGCTCCCAGACCTCTGGAGGTTCTGGCTGAGGGACTCGGGAAGCAAGGCAGAAATTAAACCCTGCTGACCAGAAATCTTAGCTATCTGCTGAAATAAATGCAGCACACATACATGTGATAAGGAAGGCCAACTGTAATGGACCCTCAAGGAAACATGTTCTGAGGCCCAGAGATGTGCCTGGGATTCAGGGCAGGGCAGGGCAGGGCCGGGTGGGATTGACAGGCCGCTGGACAGCAGTGCTGGTCAAGCTGCAGTCGGATTTCTTCTCCTTTTTGAGTATAAAGATTTCCCCAAGTGCCTCACGGTTCAAAAGGCTGAAGGGTTTTCACCTGCTATTGGTCACTCTCTGTCTGATCAATTTCACCTGGCGTGAAATTGATCACAGTGAAATTTCCACAGCATTGAAAACTCCTTTTAACGTCTTACATGCTCACTGAGCCCCCAACAAGAAAACCCCAAGGCACAAGAAGCGATTTCTAGTTATTTACCCAGCTCTCAGCTGCTATGTGAAACCTGCGTTTGGTCCCTAGGCGACGGCCACCGGTGCTCACATTCTCTGGGACTTTGCAAAGGAGGTCGCTCGAGTTGCTGTGTCCTCAGGAAGCTACCATGACAACTGCCTGTGGGGGTGGGCGCAGTGCCACGGGCTGGGACAACACGAAGGAAATATGGCACGTGTCAAATCAAGTCCCTTAAAAGGTAGTTTATCAGATCTGGAGTAGGGAGGGTAGGAAAGGACTACTGCCTTGCCCAACTTTGCTTCTGGTCAAAGCAAATACTGATACTTGGGGAGACGGAAAAAATTGACTTTATCTCACCAGCTGTGTATTTTTCACAAATAGGTTTTGAAGCTGGTTTTCTACAAATCTGCAGACGGTTGGCCTCATTCCTTACACAATTAGACATACTTACTAATCAGGTAAGAAATACTGTGAATCTCAACAAAAAAAACTGCTGGGAGGGCTTCCCTGGTGGCACAGTGGTTAAGAATCCGCCTGCCAATGCAGAGGTCCCGGGTTCGAGCCCTGGTTCAGGAAGATCCGGCATGCCACGGAGCAACTAGGCCCATGCGCCACAGCTACTGAGCCTGCACTCTAGAGCCCACGAGGCACAACTACTGAGCCCGCAAACCACAACTACTGAGCCTGCGCTCTAGAGCCCGTGAGCCACAACTACTGAGCTCACGTGCCACAGCTACTGAAGCCCACATGCCTAGAGCCTGTGCTCCGCAACAAGAGAAGCCACCGCCATGAGAAGCCCATGCCCCGCAAGAGAGAGCAGCCCCCGCTCGCCGCAACTGGAGAAAGCCTGTGCCCAGCAACGAAGACCCAACACAGCCAAAATTAAGTAAATAAATAAAACAATGGATCTATTAAGAAAACAAACAAACAAACAAAAATAACTGCTGGGAGATCAGTAGGATAATTTCCAAATAAAGCTTACCAACTTGCACCAAAACCTTTCCATTTCCCGAATTATGAACCTTTTCCATGAAAATAAGTCTAAAATGATTCTCCTGATGCCCTGACTTTGAAACAGACCCTATTAAGGAAAAAATTAAATTCTTTCTTGATAATTCAGGATCATTTCTACATAGTGTTCCTGGTAAAAGACCTATTCCTCTTTCAAAATTGCTCGGAGATTTTCCTCCTGGGTCTACCCATCCTGCCCCTTGAGCTGACTTTGCTGTCCTCCTCCTGTAACCTCACTGGTTTCTTTCACAAGTTCTCCTAACAGGTAGACTGTAAGTCTGTTGAGCAGCGAGCCCATGACTTAAGTTTGCCTCCCCCAGGACCCAGCACTCCATTTATTTATTGATCCATTCTACAAACCGTGAATAAGCCCCACTCTTGGTGCCAGGCACCAAGCAGGCATGAGGCAGGGAACCTCAGCCCAGGAAGCCATGTCTGCCAGCAAAACCAACACCTGACAGGCGAGCCAGCGGTGGGCAGCTGCCTGCACTGGGCTGCCTGCTCCTCCCTAAAGGGCCCCAGATAAGCACACCCTTTGGTGTCTTGAGTTTTCCTGCCTTCTGTCTTATTCTTGGGCTGTTCAGCTGCCACATCTTGCTACCACGGGGAGGCCTCTGTTTATGGAGGCGCTACTCGACCCTCAGTTTATTTTATTTTTTGGCCGTGCTGTACGGCATGCGGGATCCTAGGATCGAACCCACGCTCCCCACGTCGGAAGCCCAGAGTCTCAACCACTGGACCTCCAGGGAAGTCCCGACCTTCATTTTAAAGATCAGAAAATCTGACCCGAGGCAGGAAAAACATTCTCACTTTATATAAAGCAATTAAGCTTTCATTATAAATAGCAGCAGGGCATCCAGAAAGATTAAATATTAGAAGAGCCTGTGTTCTTTGATTTTTCTTTTCCACAGGCAAGAAAATGCAGACCGGTTGGTTTTTTCTGCTCCCCATGAAGGGGAAACTGGGAAGCCCCAGTGGAAGGGTCAGGACAGAGCAGAAGAGGCTTGGCTATGACGTGTGCCACCGTGGCCACCGCCAAACCAGCGTTCTGCTGGGGATTAAGGCTGCCCAGTCTTGTGTCACATCGAGGTTTGAAAAACAAAGCCCTGACTGAATTTGCTGTCCCAAGTGGGTGAGTAACTGAGAAGCCCTGGTTTGGAGGAGGTCCTTGGGGACACTGGAAAGCCAGGTTCTTCTTTAATGTATATGGTCGTGTGACACCTCAGAAGTGAAGTGGGCACTTTTACCTGCCAACAAAGTACCCCGGCACTTTCTCAAGTGCTGGAGAGACTACATGCTTAGTAACTTGTCACTTTGGCAAACTCAAGAGACGGCACCCTGGGCCCTCACAGAGCACGGTGAGAACTCAGTGACGTGAGCACCATTCGGGGGGACCGGGGTCCCTGGAGCTCTTCAGGGACACCCCAAAGGGGACCTCACACTGGGGCTTCCCACCAGCTCCCTGGCTGCCTTGTCCAAGTGCCTGGCCAAGACAGGAATAAATGTTCGCGATTCGGAAGGATCAGGTCCTGGCTCATTCATTCCTCCAGCTCAGGACAGCCTGGGCCGCTGTATCTCTGCTTCAAGGGATGGGAGCAACCGCAGCCAAGTCCAACCATGCTCAGGAAGGGAAACATTAACACTTACCGACGTGAACTCCATCTTCTTCTTGGGTAAGTTTATTAAGTATCTGGCTTGCTGACCTTTAATAAAATGATCGTAAGCTACGGCCAACTTACTTGGAGAAATGAGCACAAAGCAACATTGATAATTTTTAATAAACACCAGAAAGTAAATAAGATCAGAAATTCCCAGCAGAATAAGAACCTCTCTTGACCCCGTTTCCCCCATCCTGCCCACACAGAGCCGGGCCAAACCCTGTTTTATTGGCACGGAGCTCTGTGTCCCCACCACCACCCTCTGCGAGGGGCCATACATGGGGGTGGGGCTCTAGAATGGCCCAGCTGGGGCGGGGGTGAAGGGCTTTAAAAGGCCCTGTCCTCGCCCAGCACTGAGCAGCGATGTGATACTGACCTGTCCTGCAGTGTCACAGAGCTGGAGTCTCACTGGCCGCCCATCCACGGAAACCACAGCTTAAAAATAAGACCAAAAGGACTGTCAGGGGGGTCTCTTTTAACCTTTTCCAGAAGAATAATAGTTTTAATTTGTATGACCATTCTCACGCCAAACCCTTCAGCTCCTATTCTGGGTCCCCAATGAATTCAAGACTTGCCTAAAACAAAGAGGCCCGTGAGGCATTTTTGCACCCAAACCTGCAGGGCGGGCAATTCGCTCCCTGCCCCAGAGAAGGCAGGAGGCCAGAAGCTTTGATGGCACCCAGAAGGGCCTGCGCTTTTCTCCCAGCCCCAGAAGATTTATTTTCCTGTCACACTTGTTTCAAAAGACCCAAAAACAACACTGGGGGGTAAGTGGGAACCAACCTTGCAGCTTTAAGTCAGTGGAAAATCTCACAAATAATTCTGTTTTCCCTTGGGAAACGTTCGGTGACTTTGGGGTTTATCATAAAAGTGTGGCTTGTTTTGAGAACACGTGCAAACACAGACTGCCCGCATTGTCCTGCTTATAAAAGAGGGCACAGCTTATCTCTCCATGTCAGCTCAAAGAGCGGATTAAAAGAGAAAAGGAAAGGAAAGAAAACCGTTCCCACCTTTCCACTGGGAAGGGGTATCTGGGGAGGGGCCTGCATCAGGGCGCTGCTCTGAGGTTTCTATTTGAATGAAGTACTCATTTTGCCTCAATACAACTTTCTAAATTGTTTATACATGTTTACACTACTCAGTTGGGAGGAGGAAAAAAACAATATCGTTTAGGTGGGAAACCCAGTAGCCCAGCACTGCTTTACCTAGGGTGCCTTCCTGGTGGATGAAAGGAAGTCCTTGCCATCATGACTTTCCAAAAGATCGAGAAGCTTGTGTGTGAGAGTGTGTGTGTGTGTGTGTGTGTGTGTGTGTGTGTGCTTTAAAAAAAAAAGAAAGTGTTTCACCCTAGCTTCCATGGATTTTAACTTTTTCTTAAATTTCAAAAAGACTTGAAAAATCAAGAGTAAGGACTCCTTTATCTTGGTAGCTACCAGACCAAATGACATAGCACTGCACACATAAGAGCTTTCAGTAGCTTAAAGAGATACTGAAAAGATACTAAGACTCAGAAACAGAGCCCATGGGGGCGGTGGGAGCGGGGGCAGGGGAAGCGATGGGGCTCGGTGGGAAGAAGCTGTGTTTACTCTCCAGGTTTAATCCAAACCTCTGCCCTCCCTAGTGCTTCTAGTGCCATTTCCACTAAATCCACTCTCTTCCCCCGTCTCCGCGGCTCTTTAAAGTGGAGACGCCCTTGGGAGGGGAGCCACCAACAGGAAAGGACGGACCCTCGGGCCACAGGTAATGGCACCTGCGTGTCGCCTTCCGATCGAAACCCGGCAGCAGCGCCAGCAACGTCGACCTGACGCAACTTCTCTACCCAGGAAACTGACCAGGCCACCTGGGCGCGACCTGTTAGACCCCACCGTCTGCCCCTGAATGGCGAGGCGACCGCCGCTCCCCGCGCCCGGGTTAGGGCTCCGGGTCCCCGCGGCCCCGCGCTCCCCGCAGGCCCCCGCCCCCGGCCCCGCTCACCTGAGAAGTTGTCGAAGGCGGTGGGGATGTACTCGGTGGGGTAGCCGTTGGTGGTGTAGCTCACCACCAGGCTGGTCTTGCCCACCGCGCCGTCGCCGACCAGCACGCACTTGACGCCGCGCCCCTCCGCGCCGCCAGCGCGCCCCCGGCCCCCTGGCGCCCCGGGCCCGCGCCCCCCACGCTCCCGGCGGGGCGGCACGGGCGGCGCCTCGCAGCGGCCCGGGAACGCGGGGTCCCCCTGCTGCGGGGGCATCGGCCCGCGCCCGCCGCGGGGGGAGCTGTCCCCGACCCAGGCGCGCGGTGCAGACAAAGGCGGCCGGGCGGCTCGGGCTGGACTCGGGCTCGTGCGGCGCCGGTTCCGTTCCGCGGCCGAGGACTGCGGGCAGAGCGGCGCGGGGCCCCGCGCTGTCTCCTCCCGCTTCCCGGCGGCCAGGCGCGCTGGGGGCGGGCGCGGGGAGGAGGCGGGGCGGCCGTTCGTTCCCCGCGCCGGGCCCACAGCGCCCCCGCCTGCGCGCCGCGCTCTGCGCTCGAGCCGGAGCCGGGCGCGCGGGGGGCGGGGCCGCGGCCGCGGGCGGGGGACCCAGACAGCCGCCGGGGGGCCCCCGGACGCCCGATTGGGGCGGCGCCGAGGAGCCGGGCCGGCAGAAGGGAGCTCCTCCCGGCGCCGACACTGACGCCACCGCCTAGAGGCCCGCGGTCCCGCCTCCTGCGCCCACGCGGCCGGCGGCCAGGCTCCTCCCGGCCGCGCGCCCCTCGCCCCCTTCTCCACGCGGTCCCGGCCTCCTCGGCCACATCGCTGCACCCGAGGGGGGCAGTGAAATGCCTTAGGGACAGTCGTCGGAAGGAGGCTGAATTAACAGCCAACTTTTCGTTTAAGGTCTAGACGCTGCCCGTCGTGTGGTTTTTCTTCTTCCAAAGTAATGTATTCTATCATTTGGGAGCAAAAGAACGTCAAGTCCTTTGTTAATGCTCGTGTGACTTTCTCTTTGGCGTGCCCTGAACCAGCAAATGTCTTTATAGCCCCAATTCCTCCATTTGCTTAAATGTAATGTGGTGACGTTAGTATTATGGGGAGGGGGGCGGGAATCCGTTTTATCTGTGACTCCTTCCTCTACATCTAGTCAGCAATCCATCCGGAAAGACAGGGAAGCCTTTCTGGGCCTAGTCCGGACACAAAGGCTCCTCGGGGTTTGAACTGTGGTGTGGGAAGAGGCACATACTGTGAACACGAATGGTGATACTAATAATAAAAGTTACAGTAGCTAATAAACATCGATCCTTTCTTACGTGCCAGACACTGGTAAGCACTCTGCATGAGCTAATTCCTGTCATCTTATCATTACTTATACCCATCTTATGGGTATAGGATGAGAAAATCTGAGGCACAGAGATACTAGATAAAATGCTGAGGTCCCACAAGCGAGGAATTGGGAGTGCCAGGATTCAAGTAGTCTGGTTCCAGAGCCTGAGTTCTTACCCAGTGTCCTTGAAAGCAAAAACAAGACAGAGTGATAAACTCAGCCTTGGAAGTGTGGCTGTAGTTGGAATGCAGAGGTGGATTTACCAAGAGGCTGGAGGCTTGAATCCATGGCCCCTCATTTGCAGAGAACCTCTCCAAGGCCCTGGGGGCCCTAGCAGCGTGAGCACGTGGTTATGTTTTTGTAAATTTTTCAAAATCATATATTTTAACCACCACCAATTAATCCCACTATCTCTTTCAACTCTAACTTCTCATACGGAGAAGCTTTGATGTGGCAGTGGACATTCTGAGGATCAAGCCAAAGTAAAGTAAAGTTGGGGAGACATTTCATTTGTGTTTAATGGATACAGAGCCAGGACCAAGGTGAGGGAAGGAAGGAGACAAGGGAGCAAAGTTTAAGGGGCCAAACTTGCACTTGCCTGACCCAAAGAATGAGCCTTGACCCTGATGGGATGTATCTGTGTGGTTTTCAGTTCCGACGTGTAGTTTACCTTATTTCTAGCCACCCAGGTGTAGGAATGACCTCCAGTAATGTGCCTACTATGCAGTATACTGCTGGTATCCATCTGAACTTTCCCACTTTCCCCAGCACCGGGAGGTTCCAGTAGCAAAGCAGTCACAGAGTTTAGATATAGCTTCTTGAAGCCAGACGGTAGTTTATGGCTATTCTTTCCATCATAAAACACATAGTATTGTTAGATGGGGGCTGGCTCTCTCACCTACACCTGGGCAAAATGGAAGTTCTCTCCCCTCAGGAATATACTCTAACTGAAGCATATACGATTATAAATGCACTATACATTTTTGCAGAAAATCACAGGAAATAGAATTGATGTGAATTCCTGTGTTTGTGAGGACACAAAGCTGTCGCAGTACCACAAACAGCAAGGTCACCTGTATATAAGTACATTTCCATTCTTCTCTAGAAAACACATTACAAAATTGAAAAAGTAGTCAAAGGGCATGCAGCTAGGGGTATGGGGGAGGTTGTGTTCAAGAGACACAAAGTTTCAGTTATGCAAGATAAATACATTCTGGAGAGCTAATGCACACCCACGTGACTAGAGTTAATATTGTATGCTTGTATCTGCTAAGCATGGATCTTGAGTGTTCTTAAAACACACACACACACACACACACACACACACACACACACACTTGAATATTTCACAATATATACATGTATCAAATCATCAAGTTGTACACCTTAAATATGTACAATTTTTCATTGTCAACTAGACCTCAGTAAAGCTGGGGGGAGGGTATGTAGCCAAAAACTGTGGGAAAAATAGTATGATTGAGGTGTATCAGGTGGTTTATTAAATGTTTTCTTGTGGATATTTTGGAAGTTTATGGTGTTTGTCGGCCTTTTAAATTGCATAGCTTATTGTGATGCATGTCTCATTTTAAATCAATATTTTTGTACCTAATTTTCTATCCTTAAATTTTTATCCTTTCTCTTAAAGAAGGCCTCCAAATGTGATCAGCTTCAGGCCTTACAAAATGTGGGTCTCCCCCGACCTCTAGCTATATAGTAGTTTTTGTATCCTGTAGCCCCCAGCTTTGCTTTGCTCCCTTTTTTATGTCGAATATTGTCCCACTCCACTCGTTTTGGCCCATCTTTCTAGATCCAATTTAATCAACCCCCTGCAGTCTTATTTAAAAGCCCCAGAACTAACTGCCCACTATGAGAAGACTTTTCTGCAGCCCGTGATATCCAAGTCCAGAGGTAGGGAGATGGCCTGGAACTCAGTGCTGACCAAGGCCGGGGCTGTGGATGCCCCTCCAACTGTACGATCAATCAGTAAATCAGATCAGTAAATCATATGATGCGTTCTCTTGTTTGTTTACTGTCTGTCTCCCCGTTCAAGCCCCATGAGGTCAGGGACTTTATTTTGTTCATCCTTATACCCGACACTTTACATCATGTGGGGAAAGTAGTAGGTTGCTGTTTTCTGTTTTATGCTTTTATAAAATATTTTTAGAACACATGAATCCTGCAGCAATTAACAAGAAAGACCATTTCTTTGTTCTCTGAGAATGCCTTACCCCTCCTGTACTCCCCATCTATATCCACCAGGACGGCATAGTTGGTGCAATGTCTCCTTTGTGTCTTGGGTTTGGTAAATTTGGGAAATGCTGGCATTTACGTGGGCAAAAAGCAATCTTCCACTCTTAAGTTCTGGTGCCTCCGTGGCTCTCCAGCTCAGCTGTGAACATTCCCCCACCACACCCGAGCCCTTACACTGGTGAACGTATGCCTAATCACTATCATAGCACTTTGTTAAAATAACCTACTGACACTTGCTCTTAATCTCCTAAAAAAAAGCATGACCCTTGCTTCACCAAACTCTTTATCCCCAGCACGTTTTCTAGTATATTTTTTCCCTAAAGCTCTTTTACCTGTTCTACTAGCAAAGAGTATCTAATTTTCAAATGCACTAATTATCATGAATTTATACTTTGGAACTAATATAGTAAAAACCATGCCAATAGACTTTACACTGTGTACCTTTCGCTTTTCTATCTTTTGACATATTCAAGAAAGAAACTAAAATAATTTTCTGATTAATACATTCTTTGCCAGGGTGTAATTTCCATCATCAAATTCAATACAAAGCTTTTTTTTTTCTTTTTTACTATTTATAACATTTCACTATTTACTCATCTTCCATAAATAAGTAACAGCAGGGAACCAAATCAAAAGTGGCTGATTTCTGGATCTTTCGTGTTAACGGGTCGTGTAGCTATGGGTGTTTGTTCTTTTTTCAAGCCATCACCCTTTATCTTGGACACATTCACCTCTGAAGGAAACTTCTTTTCTTTAGCAGTGCCTTGGTTTTTAAATGTCCTGTAAGAGACCACCAGTTAGAAAATTACTTCTCGGGAATTCCCTGGTGGTCCAGTGGTTGAGACTATTCACTTTCACTGCCAAGGGCCTGGGTTTGATCCCTGGTCGGGGAACTGGGATCTGAGGCTGGGCTGTTGTTCCCCAAAGCATCCTTCTCTGTGTGTTCCAGGTTATGGCTGTCCACTGAGAGGAGCTCCCTGGGGACTGGGAGGTAGAGGCCTGTCGTATGGCTCCACGTGATGGCAGACAGACTCACAGGGCCTGACACGCCTTTACTCTCCTCCTGCTCTGTGCCCGCCTCATCGTCTTCACAGCAGCCTGAGTTCACCGGACCCACAGAGGCTGCAGCCCCCACAAAGCACACCTTGCGCTCCCTTTCATGGCCTGGCTGGTGGCCATGTCCGCAGGGCTACCGGGTTTTCTCACAAGCTTCAACTGGAGCCCTGTACCAGATTCAGCTGGACAGGCTTAGTGACTGTGTCCCTGTTCCCTGCAGCTCCCAACCTCGTGAAAGCTTCCCTTCCTTGCCCCTGTGCCTTGGAGAGGCTGTTTTCCTAACTGGGCCCTGAACGTACCCTTCCTTTGTCCTTTTTTACCACCAGTGATGCCAGCCTAGGGAAAAAAAAAAATTGACAAGGAAAATAATGTCGGCATTTTTCACTAGAGAAGATGGGATAATCATATAAATGTCACCAGACCACCAGCTGGCCCACCAGTGGGTCCTTGTCAGTAATTGCAGACCCTAGACTCTCTCATCAGCTAGCATTATGGTGAGGGGGTCACGGACATTATCCAGCATGTTGAAATTGGGGCCCTGTCTACAGATGTCCTTTTGTCTCTTGCCTGTTGGTAACTAGAATGAATAATTTTTTTTTTTTTTTTTTTTTTTTTTTTACTCAAAAAGAGCTCCCACTGACATGATGAAACTTT